TCAGCTCCCCAGCACTCACGCTCAGAATTCCCGAGGGCTGCGGCCTTAGCGCACCAAGGGACACTTACAGCAAGCACCGCAGTTCGGAGGGGCGGGCACAGCCACACCCACAATGCTCATTCATTGATAGCTGCAGCTTCCACAGCCAACAGCAGAACTGGCCCTCAGTGCCACGGTGGCCGATCCCTCCCTGCTGCCATCGTCTTGTGGATCATCTTTTCCTTGTGCCGGGTCTGTAAAGCTCGGGTGTGGTTCGGCTCATCCCAGCCACAGTGCCTCTCCTACATAACACAACCAGCAGCTGGTCAGAAATGGTGATCCTTAATGCATTCCTGTAAAATTCTGCATTGGGTCTTTCGGTTTTGTGGGTTAGGCTGGGGCAGGGTAAAGGAATTTACAGAGAGGGGAGAGGGAGGAGAAGGGGGTCTGGATACCCCTGTATTCCACTGAGGAGTGCATAACAGCTGGAGGGAGGAAGAAGAGCTGCACCACACCACTGCTGGTCTCCAGGTCACTGAACCAGGGGCACCAGGGGACTGCTGGGGTCAGGCAGCCTCTGTAAAACTGGTAGGAGTCAGGGAGGGGTGACCAGTTCTGGTTAGGACTCTGTGACGATGATCCCATCAGGAACTGGGATTTGGAGCAATTCTCATGGCATTCATAGCTAGCCAGTGAAAGGGAAGGTAGGAAATACAAAAATACAGAACAAAACACTCTCCACAGTGTGGGAGGAGAAGCTGTGCAGGCATCGGCTCTGTAGCCTCAGGCCACCTTGGACAAATTTAGCCTGGGTAAAAGGAGGAGGGATAACATGAATCACAGGATCCAGTGTAATAGGAGAGACATGGAAAACTTGATGCAGCGCAACAGTGGAACAGGAAGACCCATCCATTGAGGAATTTGCTGTATTTCTGAGGATGGTCTGTCAAAATAAACCTTCTGCATGTGGCTCATTGTACAATTTGGTGGTTTTAGAAAGATAAGTATTCCAACAGGTGTGGGAATGGACAGAGGTTGCAGCACTTCGGTCTTCTGTAGGGACACAGCTCTGCGTGGCAGCGAGGGAGCAGGGGACTCCAGATGCTGTGCACAGGCTGAGCTATAAATGTCTCAGCTTCTATCATGATCTAAGGGACACCATCAGGGTAAAGCCATCTTTTCCACATGACATTGCCTAGCAGGCAAACTGAAGGCCACGGCAGGATTCCTGCAGGAAACTCTTCTGTAGAAACTGCTTTCAATTGTCATGTGGGGTTTTTTTTCTCAAGCTTTGCAGAATGTGCTTTGAGAAAGAAAATGAGCACAGTGAGAGGGAATTGGGATCATAAATCAACAGCATAAGAATGCACCATTCCCTCTCCTAGCAGGAGACAGAACGGCCCTGGGGAGGAGCCCGTACCCGAAACAAACACAGCAGATGCCTCCAGGGCTGCACCAATACTGTGCAAACACGGGGAAAATTCAGCTTGTCCCTTTTCTTTCAGCAGCTGCCCACAGGAAGGGAGCCTGGCAGTGCTGCTCTGCTGGCTCCTGTCTCTGGCAGGTGGGGGAGACAAGGCTGAGCCAAACGGGCCTCTGGGGTCACTGTGCCCTGAGAATGGTGAAAAATTGGTCTCTGCAGCAAATGAATGAATGCAAATTGTCCCAGGGCTTCCCTGCCGATAGGCTCTGGGGGTGTGGGAGGAGAAAATCCAGCTCAGCAAAAAGGACTTGGGGTCCTTCTTTACTGGAAATGTACAGTGTCTGCATTTCCGTCAACAGAAAACCACACCAAACCCACACCCACCCTTCTCTCCTGCCTTCCTTAAAAGCAACATGACCATCACAAAAGCTGCAGCCACAGATGTGGGTGTGGTGCTGTTAAAAGAGTTCCTGCCACTTTCTTAGCACAGCTGTTCCCTCTGCTCCTGCAAGTGAGCAGGATTTGCCTGATACTTCATTGGGCTCAATTCAGCCCTCACACCATTTTTTTTTAGGAGAGTGGGATTAACCCTACAAGTGTGGTCCTCACATGTTCAATGCTTTAACAAGGCCTAATTGCATTATTGCTGACGATCTCCTCCATGTCCTGTTTCCCTGCGTCCACCAAAGTCCTGCTCATGCAGCTTTTCCTGTGTTTCAATGATTGGTGGTTCAGTACTGTGCTGGCATCCAGCCTGCTCACACAGTGCCCTCCAGGATTGGGCCTGGGCTTGGATGGGGAGCTGTTGCTTCCCGTGCCGCCTCCCACCCCACCAGAGAGCGGGAATTGGTTTGAACACCTGCCAGAACTGCCAACTCCCCGAGACAGAATGTGTACACCTGGATTAGTAAAGGCAATTTTCCTGGGACCACCCTGGACCAAGGCTCCCACCTCTCCTCCCAGGCACTGCCTGGAGCAGAACTGGCAAGGAAAGCGCCTCAGCAGGCACTGTTTGCACGAGACAGAAAATGGCAGCAGGCCAAGGGCAAGGGTGTGCGCTGAAACCCATGGAGCAGGGCAGCTCCGGCTCTGCTCTGATCCTATCATTCATTCCTCTCATTCCTCCTTTTCTCCCACACGCTGCAGCAGCCCCACACACCTTTCCCTCCACTTCTGGCTGGAGTCAAGGCCACTTCTCTTGGCCTCCTCCCATGTGCCTCATCCCAGTCCTTCACATAGCACTTGGAAGTGATGTCCTATTGCCCTTCCTGCAGGGCTGCTTACTTGTATCCACATGCACTCAGCTCAGCACACCATCCCCAATGGACCAGAGGGCTGTGGCTGCTCCTGCCAGCACCCACTGTTGCAGCTGCCAACTGCTCTAGAGTGGTTTGGACCCACTGCAGAGCCTGGCCAGATGAGATTTATCCCATCCAGTTCTCCCAGTGGGGAGCTGGCATGGCAGCCTGCACTGCTGGCCGTGCTGGAGCTCCTCAGTCACTGCTGGGGACGTTGGTCCTTGTCCTCGGGGAGTGCCTGGGGTGCCAACTGCAGTGAGATAAAGGGGGCAGAGACTTGAAAGCTGCATTTGCTGCTCTCTCCATGGGTTGCGGCTTAGGATTGATCCTAAGAATCTCCCTTTTGGTTGTTACTGATCCAGTGACAGCCGCTTGCAATCACCCCGCTGTTACCTGTTGAACTGAAGCCTCTCTCTGCCTGCCAACATAATTCTTACACCTCCAGCCAAATGCAAACCATTTTTTCATTGCTGTGTGGGCCCCAAGTGTGTTGTCTCCAGCAGAAACAGCTTCCATTGACCAACCTCTTCCTAGGCCTGATGCTGTGAAACTAAAATCTTAAAAGAGGTGTAACTGAGATGGTCCAAAGGGTCCCCTGCTGGGTGGTCCCTTTTCCCAAGACTGCTAACTTACGGTAGCATTCCAAACAACATCAATGATCTCCTTGAGTAAAAACACTCTCAAACCACCTGGGTTTTTCCAGTAAGCACCATCTTCTTCCTGAGCACTCTGGCTTGGCAAAGGATTTGGTCACAGGAACGAGCTGGAAAAGGGAGGAGGAGGGCACAGCTGCTGTTATGCCAGAGGAAACAACCATAGAATTGTTTAGGATGTAGAGGATCTCTAAAGTCACCAAGTCCAACCATTGACCCAGCACTGCCAATCCACCACTAAACCATGTCCCCAAGTGCCACATCTTTTAAGTATCTCCAGGGACAGTGGGTGACTTCACCACTTCCCTGGGCAGCCTGCTCCAGGGCTTGACAACCCTTTCCATGAAAATTTTTTTTCCCTAATATCCAATGTAAACCTTTCCTGGTGGAACTTGAGGCCATTTCCTCTTGTCCTCTCACTTGTTACCTGGGTGCAGAGACCAACCCCCATGTGGCTGCAGCCTGCCCTTGGGAAGTGGTGGAGAGTGATAATGGGATCTGCTGAGGGGTGGGAATGCCCTTTGCTCCCATGCTGCTCCCACCACACACCTGACCCTGCCTCGCTCCTGCAGCCCCCGTGTCCCTCTGCCAGGACCTGCCACACCCCTGTCCCTCTGTCAGCAGCAGGTGCTGGACCCTGGGACTGCTCAGTGCTTGGAGCTGAGGTAAAGCACAGGGAGGTCAGGACAATGAACAGTCCTGCTCCAACTCCTGCCTTCCACCAGTTTTTAGAAACTTTGCTTAGGGAAAAAAACATACCAGCCAAAAAGCCCAAACCTTTCAATCCATTTCATTCCCAGTTCCCTGAGCCTGCCATACACGGGGCCTGTGGCTCCTCTGCTGGGACAGGTGCCTGTGCTCTGCCAGGCAGCTCTGCTGGGGACAGGGCTTGTTTGCTCTCAGCCAGAGTTTCTCACTCTGCAGCAAGTGAGGGGGCTCTGCAGACAGCCCTGGGCTGGGGCACAGCCCCCTGGTCAGAGACACCCTGCTGCAGCCACTCACAAGCTTCCACAAGGGAGGAGGCTGTCCTGGAGGATCCAGCCCTGCCTCTGGAGTATGTGAGCAGAGAGGGGTGATGCAGAAAATTCCTGGAAGAGAAGACTTTACTGACTGCATGGGACACTACCCAACTGCATGCAGACTCAGGGAGCAATAGCATACCCCAAGAAAAATCTGCCAGGGCATCAGGGATTAGCTGGGTGTGCAGCAAGATCCAGGGCTGCATTTCTGCCCTGGCCAAAGGCAGGTGTTTGCTGTAAGGTCCAGTTCTCCCCAGCAGCCCTGAGCACTCACCTGTGCTCTCACCTGAGATGAGCTCCAGCAGGAGTTTGTTTTGGGGGTCTGTCTCTGCTCCAAAGCCTCTCACTGTCCAACACTCACACCCAGACAGAGCCTGGCTTTTCTGCCGTGCCCTGTGGCAGACACCTACTGTGTCTGGTGTGTTGACACCTACTACACACTTTCCTTTCCTAGCAGAGCTTGGATTTGGCAGCAG